GGATGCTGAAACATAACCTCTTGATGCACGATCAGTATTCTTCTGAATCACCCATAACTGCCTGTCACACTCACAGTGTCAATGTTCTTGGGATTTCAAGATGCACTAAACACAGGGACACATCTTGAGGTACTACCTGGATGGTGAGCTAGGGGTAGTTTTTGGCTTTTATCATAATGTCTAAGACATTTTGAGTAGCACGCACACTTGGTATTGCACCCCAAGCTTCAGTGGACATTTTTTGAAACTGTGCACTTTGGTTCCTGAAAGAGATTGCCAAAGAGGCAGAACATTCAGGGTCATTTAGCCTTTGACACCGAATGCTACCCTGTTATTTGCTATGAGAAAACAGGCACTGAATATATCGTATGGTTAAAGAAAGAGTGGAGGTCCATCCATTGAGCTCAGTCTAAATCATGAATTCTTCTTCCTACCCTCTCCCCGTCTTCTCAATTAACTCAGTGTTGCAAAAAATATAGAAGGTGATTTTTTTTTTCATGAAAGCCATCTGGTGAAATCCCCAGAACCCCCTAAAAAGAGAAAAAGAAAAGAAAAAGACAGTGGCAAATGTCTATAAAACCCCGAGTAGCAGAATCTGGAATTCAATCCTCGCCCGTTCTGGCAAACACTTCCCTTCGTTCAGGATGGTGAGCCAGGGGTAGCTTTTGTCTTCTCCATCCTTTTCGTCTCAGCTTTCTCTCCCACTGGCTCACGGCAGCTGCCTTGCATACTTCTGAACGTAGGAGGGGAGGGGTGAAAAATACCCTGTGTCTTTTCAAGTTATTGATGTCTCGGAGCTCCCACTGGGCTCCTTCTTTGACTGGATGGTTGAACAAATGCTGATGGTGCTGGATTTGTTTTTTTTTTAAAATCATGGATTTTGTCCCATCTCCCCTCGCTCCATCGTGCATCTTCCTGGCCTACTAAAATCCAGCCATGCTTTCAAAACATGGCATGGACCTGCTTTTGTTTCTTGGACATTGGGAGATGGGTGGAGGATCTCCAGAAGATGGAGATGGAGGTGGGTATTGGTGATAGAATGCAAGCCAACTGTTCTTCCAGCACACCCTGCTGACAGATATATGGAGCAACGAGACTGCACACCTATGTCCGTTGGAGGCATTATTAACATTTCCAAACAGCATGCCTGTTTGCCGGGACATGTGGTCTGAAACTAATTGCAACCTGCCAATGGTATAATGTGAAAATAGATAGCACATGTTGGAAGTGATCACAGCAGGTGGGAGCGGTCCCGATCCATGTTCCACTGCCTATTACAGTGAGCCACTTGGAAGAAAAGTCTAGTCACATTTACTTTTCTGGCATGTGTACAGCTCCTCCCATCCAGGTTGCCCACTTCTTCTTCTGAGTCTGGCTAAGCTGTCACAGCTCCTCCCATCCAGGTTGCCCGCTTCTTCTTCTGAGTCTGGCTAAGCTGTCAAAGCCATCATGCTTGCTCTCAACAAGACATGAACGTCTGGCCACTTCTGTGTGTCGTTTCTTTTTCTCTAGACACTTAAATCTCCTGGCTTTTCAGGCTGGCTGGATAGCAAAGTGAGTTAGCTATCTGGCTGCGGAGCCAGAGGCTGGGAGTTTGATTCCCCCACTGTGCCTCCTGCGAAGTAGAGCCAGCCTGGGTAGCCTTGGGCACGGTGCACAGTCCCAGGGCACCCCAGAAGATGGGAAGAGTAAAACCACTTCTGAGTAGTTTCTACCTGGAAAATCCTGAAAAGGATAAGTCAGAATTGACTTGACAGCACATGAGGATGATTTCAGACAGTTCTCCAATCTTTTTCCTTGTCTTCCTGTTCCTTTCCAAAGACTCAATTAGAATCTTGGTTGTCAAAGTCTGGTCCTCTACAGGCCCATGGGAGGTTGAGAGCTCTGTTGTACAGCAGTGGTCCCCAACCTTGGGCCTCTGGATGTTCTTGGACTACAACTTCCAGAAGAATTCACCACCACCTCTGTTGGCCAGGATTTCTGGGAGTTGAAGTCCAAGAACATCTGGAAGCCCAAGGTTGGGGACCACTGTTCTACAGGAAGTATATAGAACAGCCAAGAATGGGTGTTACTTTCCCCCCCTCCAGTTGAGCATTTTGCTTATTTGTTCTGCTGACTGAGACTGTGCCATTTTCACATGGGCCAGATTATCAAACAGGGTAACCAAGTGCAACTTCTAGCTTGAGACGTTTTGAAGTGATAGGAGGAGATTATAATTATTCTCTTGTTCGTGAATTCAATGCCCTGCCTTCTGCATTTAAGCATAAGGCCAAGATCAAAGTTACTTTAAAGACATGACTTTGCTTTTTATTTCAGAGCATTTGAGGGTATTACTCCAGGGGCATCTCCCTAGTTTCATGGGGGGCCCTGATCCAGGAAAGATTAGTCACAATGAAGCCCCATTGACTAAGTGTAGTGAAATGTTCTGATTAATTTTCCAGATTCAAACCAGGTTGCATCTTGAGAAAAAACCCATTTTCATCCCCAATGATATGTTCATATCAATATGAATTCCAAGGCCAGCACCGTTTCTTTTTGCATTCATAAGAAAAAAACATGTCTCCTTTCGGTTGTGAGAATAATAATAGTAAAATATATTGTGAGGCTGTCTAGACAGCCTTATTAAGCAAGTGTGTGTTTATCAGAGATAATGCATGCTGTAATCAGAACTGACATGAAAGGGTAGATATAATTGACCGAAATGTGTAAAAGTTTCTGCAGCGGCATTCAGAAAGAGGGTGTTCAGTTAAAGGGTCATGTTGCTGCCTTTGCAACATCAGCAAAAAAAGGCTTCTCTGGGAATTGTGGTTATAATAATTTTGCCCGAGGAGGGGATTTTTTTAAAAAAAGTCTGAATTGTCAATAATTACTAGCTCGCTGCTTTAATGAATCACTAAATGGTGCAAAAAGGATAGTCATAAACAAGAGCTGGCACTCATTTTTGAGGGAGAGGAAGGGTGTGCATAAAAATAGTGGGAATTAAAATTGTGACTGTTTCCTTGCAATTTAGGGAAACAACCCTCTCTTTGGGAACACTAAATGCAGAATATTAATAGAACTGGCATTTATAGCTGGTGACTCCAGTTCCAAGAGGGTGGGGAATCCATGCCAGTATTTGCTATGAACTCCACAGGAGCTATCCATGGTGCTGAACTCTATAGCTGCAATATGTTCAGCACCTTGGAGAGCAACTATATAACTCTATAGCTGGATATAGTGTACAGCAGTGTTCCCCAACCTTGGGCCTCCAGATGTTGTTGGACTTCAATTCCCAGAAATCCTGGCCAGCAGAAGTGGTGGTGAAGGCTTCTGGGAGGTGTAGTCCAACAACATCTGGAGGCCCAAGTTTGGGGAACACTGGTGTACAGGACTAGGCCCTCTGGCCATCTGCATGCTTCAAATGTTGTCTTAGAAGATGATGCAGGAAATCTAAATTCCCACATTTGTGCTATTTCACAAGGGGCCAATCCAGTATATCACAAGGCCCCAGGCCTGTGACTTCACAGGGACCTTCCTCTTAGACTTAAGATTCCCTCCCCTGAAATCTTGGAGAACAGGGAGCTTTTGGTCTAGACACCTATTGGTCACTCTTAGTTGGACATGACCCTTGTAAATCATAGTGGTAAGTAACGTGTTTGCAGAGGCAAATGAGGCTGGAACAGATATATGTTTTTAAAAGTTGCAGTCATTTATGTGTTTGCTTTGGAGTAAGTTTTGCAGAATCCTAGAATCACAGAGTTGGAAGGGGCCTATAAGGCCATCAAACCCAACTCCTTGCTAAAGACAGGAATCCAAATTGAGGCATTTGGATATAAGATGGAGTGGAATATGGCATTCTTATGGGCATCTGAGGTCTGTCTTTTCCCTTTAGGGTTAATATGGAATCTCAATAACCTTGTGATTTAATCTGATAGCGCTTTTCTATCCATTGGTTAACTTTAAGCCACCTAGAGTGGTCGCAATGACCAGATAGGCGGGATATAAATGAATGAATGAATGAATGAATGAATGAATGAATGAATGAATGAATGAATGAATGAATGAATGAATGAATGAATGAATGAATTTGCCAGGATTGTGAGGAAACCCTGCTGGTCTTGTTCGGAAACGTGATCATCCCTTTCCTTTGGGGAAAATGGGAGAGAGGGATTACATATCGTACGACTCCTCTCAAAGACATTTCTCAAAGGCCTCCGATTCCTTCTGTTGTCCTGAGAAATGGCAGTCTTGGATGGGCATAAGCGATGTCTTGTTAATAAATTTAAAGGAAAGGTTAAGGAGAATGGGTCTCTCCAACACCTAAGCTGTTTTTTGTCCTCTATCATGCAACTTCCTCAGAAACAAGACTTGGAAATACAGCTGAGATCTTCTGTTTTTTTCCTGAAGAGGTGTCTTGATGCTTGCGAGAACAATTTTTGCACAATTTGCACAAATTTCACAACTTGCTCACATTACGTCTGACGTTCAAATTGTGTAGCTTAACCAGAGGGGCTGCTGCCTTGCTGCATGGACTCCTAGTAATCAAAAGCATCTGATGGGTTGTGTGTGTCTTTTTGACTCATCAGCCAGCCTTCCTCTATTTGCTTGCATGTGCCTGCTTTCCTTCACAGAGGAAAAGAGACTAGTTTTCTGCAGAAGCGTTTTGTGTCCATTGCAGAACCCTTGCAGAGAAAAAGACAACTCATGCTAGAGGGGAGAACTCTGGTGGGCATCAACAAATTCTGGACAGGCTTATCCACTGCCTTGAGATAGCCTGTCTCAGGAAGAATTGGTAGTTTCGTGAGATTTCTTCTTGTTCCTACTCATGAGCCAGGAGATGCATATTAAACATGAACCGATAATCCCTCTCAATGGAATTGGAACCTGTTGGCAAACTGTTCAGGGGTGGCTCAAGAGTGGGGTAGAATTCTGCCTGCATTGTCTGCTTAGTTGAAGTGTTACTCTCTTGCCGGTAGTTAATTTTACTAATACGTGCCCTGGTTTTGTTGTTATTTCTATAGGATCCAGCTGGGGAAGGCTACAGGGAGACTCTTGAAAACGAACACTTTCACCTGGAAGGTAACTATGGAAAAATAAATAAATGAATGTATTACTTCTGTGCCTTAAAAAAAAGAAGCCAGCTACATATTTTTCTCTGCTTACTTTAGAACCACTGGTGATGATCCAAGGATTGTTTTCTGCAATAATTCTGTTGAATGTACTGTTGGCGAGCTCAGTGGTTGAGGTCTCTGGCTTTGGAGCCAGAGGTTGGGAGTTCGATTCCCCGCTGTGCCTCCTTGACCGGGGCTGGACTGGATGACCCATAGGGTCCCTTCCAGCCTTGCAGTTCTAAGCCTATATTGCTTGTGTTTCACTCTAAACTACAGTGATTGGGCATATGTTCTTTCTTTTCTCATTCTTGGTTTTGGGTGCATTTCTAGTGATGCTCAGGCATGTGACAACTGTAATATAAAATGAATCAGCGTCTTGATTGGTATCATGCATTGTGGGCATGAAGTCATTGATCTGAGTGGAAGGGCAAGATCCTTGTAGCTAAACCAATCTTGCTTTCGGGATTTGTCACTTCGCAACATGGTAGAGCTTTCCCGGTATCCGAGGACTGAGAGTATCTTCTGTAACAGAGATGGTGAGGAGACAAGGCAGTGATTAGATGAAAGATTGGATCCTTTGTTTTTGTTTTCCAGTTGTCAGAATCAATACCTCTCCCCGCCCAACCGCACTGATTATTAAGAAGCCATCTGAATAGACAAGATAAAAAGGACTGTCTGATCGGTCCAGAAAAGAAGCCGGATTTAACTTTTGGGTTGTTATGTAAAGCTTGATCAAATCCTTTCGGTCTTAACAGACTTAACTGGTCAACAGTAAAAGGCCCTGGATTCTGGGATTAAGATTGTATTTGGTAAGAAGACTGGTGCATTAGTGCTTTTCTTTTGAACTGTGGAGAGAACAAAGTAAACATCAAACGCCTTAAGCCATGAGAGTGGGTTGTTGACTCAGTGCAGATGCTTGACAAGGGGCTCGGACGCAACTGGGTCTACTCTGTTTACTAAGCAGCTGGTGGAAAGAAACGGCTTGACCATGGGTCCCCTTTTTCTGCCAGTGGCTGGCTTTGATTTCCCTGACTTTATAAGTCCCGGTAAATTTGGGACAATTGGATTTCTCTCAACCATGATCACACCAGGCGTGCTGAAGTGAAGCCAAATGCCTTTGAAGATTTGTGTCGGCCCACCAGTGGATAGAACTAGACCAGCTCAGTATTTGGGGACCAGCTGGCTTTTTAATAGAAATGGATGGCGAACCACTGGTTTGGTGGTTTGTTTTTTGGATGAGTGGGTGGTTGGTGGTTTCCAGCCCCACCTCCTCCAGTGAGTACCCGCTCAAACACAACACCTGGAGGAGGCAGGGCTGGAAAGCCAAGACAACACCTATTTTTCCGAAAAATGAACCAGCACATACCGGTGAATTAGTGGTCCATGCTCATCTCTACCGTGGATGAAGGTGGAAGCGGGATGGTGACCTGAAATGGTTTATTGCAAGGACAGAAAGCAAGGAGGGAGGCTACACAGAAGTAGTAGAGCAAGGATGGACAACTGGTGGACTTCCAGATGTTGTTGGGCTTCACCATCATATCCAATAATGGGGCATCAGGAGAACTGTTGGCCTGTAACATGTGGAACACCACAAATTGTCCTGCCCTGGAACACAAAGTAAAACAAGAGAAGGGGGACTTGCAAAATATATCATGAAAGTTTAGAGTGTGGAGCCACAGTTTAGGAGTTTGATTCCTCCACTAAGCCTCTTTGACATGGGCTAGACTTGATGATCTATGAGGTTCCTTCCAGCTGTGCAGTTTCGGAACGTGCACTAGTCGGGCTCCTTGTGTGTTATTTAAAAAGAGGACGTGCATCACTAGAAAAGAGAAAAGAAAAAGAGGAGACACATAAAAAACGAATAAGCAAATGCGAATGTATTTATTTAGATGCACGCTTAGAGTCTGTTGTCTGGCTTCTGATGACTTCAGCTAGTCTTGTGGCTCTTCGGCTTTAAAGCAAACTTGCATGGGACAGCTGTTTAAACAGAGGACTGTTCTTTGCAAACAGGGCACCCGGTGACCTTAGCCTATGCAGAGCAACTCTACAGACAAAAGTTTGTTTCTTTGCTTTCCTGTGTTCCTTTGCTTTTGATGGCTCGGGCTTCTTCCTGCCATTCTCCTGCAGCGCCCAGCTGAACCAGCCCATGGTAACTGGGCTCATGGCCAGCGGAAGGAGAGCCAGACTGACATGGGCCGACAAGGCACTTAGAAGAAGCCTGGCCGAAAACTGTAGGTGGCTTGGTTTGGCATGTGGGTCTGAGGTTTCCCTAAACCTGAGTCGACGTTTTTATATGCTCTGCGGGGCACCACGAGCCACCTGAGCTGACAGCAGATAAGATGGGAAATGGAAGAGGCACCAGTAGGCATAAAATGAGGAGTGGAGAAAGGAGGAACAGAGCTGAGTGCCAAGTTGAAATGGTTTCGTTTGGCAGGAAGCGTTAAAATAAATCCAAAAAAAAAACCCCCCACAAAAAACCAAAAACCATGAAGCTGGTAGAGCTTAGCAGACATTTTCCTGCGGTCGAACAAAGATCCAGGAAATCGTCGGGAAACAGGTAGGCTGTTCGCCCCGCGCTAGAGGAAAATCTTACGTCATCATGCGCTTTATGGGAGAGAGCAGGAAAGGAAGGGAGACTTGGGTTTGGAGGATAAGATTATATTATCCACACACTTTTTCAAAGGCTCGTGATTAAATCCCTTGTTTCCAAGTAGTTGCTTTGAATTTATTTTTATTTATTTTATTTATTGCATTTCTACCCCGCCTATCTAGTCGAACGACCACTCTAGGCGGCTGTTGACACCGAGATCTAGATTTTGACATGTCAAGTGTAGAGATGAATGTTTTAGCACCTGCTGACAACATTCTGGGCGTATTTTCTTCTCTTAAAATAGTTAGATTCCTCTATTTCCACCGGTCAGGATTTCCGACCGGTGTCCTATCGCCAGTATGACAGACCTATGAAACAGCAGCTCAAATCCTTAACAGCGCAAAACCAACAAAACAGGAAATAACATTCTGAGCAGCAGAGAAAGGTAACAAGAAGAAGGAGGAGGAGGAGGAGGAGGAAGAGGAGGAGGAGAAGAAGAAGAAGCAGAGAAGACAGCACTCTCTACATGGATGAGTGTCCACCAGGGAGGCTGGTTTCTGCTCCAAGTCCCAAGTCTGAACGTGAGCTTTTGGGCCAGAATTTGGAGTCTGAAGCTTTGAGCCCATATTGGGTGGATGGCACTTCCGACATGTACAGAGAGGAAAACTGGGCCGGCACATGGAGAGGTGCAGAAGCGGCAGGCTGATTTCCCCTTCCCGAGCCAGCCCCTGCCTCTGCATATGTGCCAGCTTATTCACTGGCTGGCGAATGCGTGGTGGAGGTGGCAGCTGGCTGCCGGAAGGGAAGCCGGGCCGGCTGCTTCTGAGAATGGTGGCAGCAGCCACCGTGGTGGCGGCAGGAGCAGGTCGCGAGGCTCAGCCCTAATAGGGACTCGGGAATGCGACTCGGAAAACTGGTTCTGAGTCACAAGTCAAGTCCCAGTTTTTTTTTTTTAAAAAAAAACATGAACAACTCCCAAGTCAAGTGTGAGCCAAGGGGCTAGTGCCATTGAAATTGGATTCGACAGTGATTCGCAGTTCACGAGTCCTCACTAGCATTGCAGTTTCCTGGAGCAGGGGCGGATCCTGACCTTATTGGAGGGGGCGGGTGAGGGGGAAAGATACCTTTCCTAATCACAACTTTTTTTTTTTTGGGTGGGTGGACAGATCCTCCTCCTGGCCCATTGGTGAGTCACCTCTGGAACGAGTGGGTTATGATTTGCTTTTTTAAATTCCAGACCCAGCTCTGAACACCCAGGTGGGGGTGGGGTAGCCAGGAGAAGGAGGAGGATGAATTCCAGGAAGAACCACCCAGAAAAACAGACTGATTTTGCTCTCTCTTTTTCCACCTTTGCGCTCTACTTATTTTGGTTGGCAGCCGCGATTTTTCAGATACAACTCGCTCCTTTTGCACAAGTCAAATTTTACATATTTATGTTTCCACAGTATTTTATTTCTCTCTTTTTTTTCTTTTTGCCTTTGCCTTTTTTATAAAAAAAAAAAATTGGGAGGGGGCTTGCTCTGTAGGGTTTTCTTGTCTTTTCTTTGAAAAAGTCCCGAGGAAAAGCCTCTACTCCGCTATTTAAATGAAGCCTGTGCGTAGGTAATGTCATTAATAATGCAGGCTTTGATTTCCAACCGGCCTCTTGTCGAACTTAGATGTTCAAGGAGAAAAGCTGGATTCCTGCCACACTGGCAGTGATAACAAGAGCTCTGAAGATGCCGGGACGATGGAATAATCGCACCGCGCTTTTCATCAAAATTGCTTCCCATGGGGAAAGCTGTCACTATGACCCTCACATAACTAATCATGAAGAAACCGTGCACCAGACACCCATCTTGAATCTTCTCCTCATGGCTGTGAACCAACCGTACGGTAACGATATCACTGTGATCACAGAGGAGTCTGCATCTGTTTCTTTTCCGGCTAAAAACGGACAAATGTTAGGGCTGACGGGAGCATTTAGCATTCTCTCAAGACCCACCGGTAGGATCTGAGGGCGCTGGACAAAGTCTCGGAACTACAGTGATACTTCGCTAGACGATCTTAGCATTCTCTCAAGACCCACCGGTAGGGTCTTGTGAGGATCTGAGGACACTGGATGAAGTCCCGGAACTACAGTGATACTTCGCTAGACGATGATAATCCGTTCCACTGAAATCACTGTTTAGCGAAATCATTGTCTAGCAAAAAGCATTTCCCCATTGGAATGCATTGAAACCTGTTTAATGCGTTCCAATGGGGAAGAATCGTCATTGTCTAGCGAAGATTGGCCATAGGAACGCTGCTTTGAGAACCGCCGATCATCTGTTTAAATCGCTGTCTTGCGAAGCTTAGGTCCCGAAAACAGCTGTTTTGCGAGCACGGAGGGAGCTGTC